GTCTTAAATGACATCCTCTGTCACATTATGATGCAATTTATGTGAAATGTTGCCATCAAAAGTTTGGGGCACCCAAACAATTTAGAGGGGCCATGGACATGTTTTTATTCTGTATAAATATGTTTCAATAAATGAATAACTAAAAGAACTGCATACGGGTAGATAACACATTTCTTCATTGCAACAAACAAAGGACTATAAATCACAATCCAAGATTAGAACTGTATATAAAGATATAACACTTTATTATCATGTAAAACTGTACAATTTTCAAGGCATCTAGCACCAACAAACAAAACATTAAGGGAAAGTAATCAACATCCTAAAAACAAAACAAATATTTGGTTGTTCCCTGATAAAAACATGTCATATTCAGCCAATCAATAACATATGTACTAAACTGAAAAATAATCAATGCAAAAATGGAAAACACCAGCTGCATCCAACACTTGCATGTGTACTAAACTTTCTCCCATCAAATCATGTTCAGAAATTGATTGTTTAGTAAAAGTAAATTCACATGTAGAAAACTACATTACCACTTGTAGAAAACTACTTTAATTTTATTGGAGAATGGAAAAGACAATTGTGGGAAAAAACATTTTGTTTGACAATTACTGCAGTAAATGTATTTTCTGTATAAACATGTAAGTTTATTATATGTATGCACAAGTGCTCGATCATATATGTTATGTTCACTTCACCAGTTAAAAAAAAAAAACAGTTCATGAAAATAAATGCCTTGATAATACTGTAATAGAGTTGACATAAATAATACTGCAAAAGAGTTTACATAAGAAATACCTCATACAATGTAACTTAATCAGGTGCGTGTTTTCGAAGGCAATTATTAAATGTGTCAATGTCGCTGTTTGATTTTAAACAACGGCACTTTATGCCTTAAATTTGTTTTTTGCATCATGCTTGTACACACTTAACACATGTTTACACACTTGATATATATTCTTTGAATATGTGTCATGGTCTAGGCCTGGTCTAGTGGTTACATCATCAGACTATGGATCACATGATTCATGGTTCAAGTCCCAGACTGGCACTAACGTCCTTTGGCAAGATATTAATCTACATTTGCCATTCTCCATCTTGGTATAGTAATTGGACTTTATTTCATTTCAACAGGGTAGCTGAATCATTCCTAAAGACATATTAGAGGTATTGTGGTCTTAGTGGTTCATTCACTGAACTCTCAATCAAAGGGTTGAGGGTTCGAATCCCAGCCCGACACCACTGTCCTTTGGCAAGACATTAATCCACATTTGTCACTCTCTACCCAGGTGTAGATAGGTAACCAATACATCAGAGCATTTCATATTTGGCCGCCAGCTGTAACCGGGTGATATTGTTGGAGCGCAGGGAGCATCACAGAATAACAGACATGTGTGCTATACAAAAAGCCATGGCCATTATCATTATTATTATAATAAAGTGTTCTACCTCCTGTTGTGTCTTTTATTAAAGGTAAAGATCAGTTTTGGTAACGCCTCCAAAAAATGAAATGGAAGCTTTTATTTAAATACCAATCATGTGAAAGAATATGTTTTGACTAATACATGATGATACAAATTTTGCAGAGAAACCGCCTACTAATTGATATATTTGGTAAATTATTATATCTATTTGGACCTGATAGATATCGTGCACGTGTCACGTAGTCCCATATACATATTTCTGTGTACAGTGCTTGTAACTTTACCAAGACAGGGCCAAATTTCTTATCATTTTGATGATTCTAGAACCTTGCAGTACACACCAATAGTTATATGCTAGATGATCAACCTTTTCTGATCGATTTCACAACATTTCTTTCACAATGCAATCGCATGACCATAACTGGTCTTTATCTTTAAGCCATACTGCACATGGGGCAGGGAGTACATCCTAAACATAAATGAATTTCTGATTCATGATAATATAGGCTAATATATAACTCCATGTCATTTCAATTGTAAATCATATGAATTTAACACCCCAAAAAGGGTGATAATGGCTATCAACTGCTATTATGAGCAAATGTGGTTGTGACCAAGTTCTTAACACATCCAAAGTGAAATGGAATTAGAAAAGAAAAAGAAAAACATCCTAAAACATCTAAGTTCTCTTAAAGATATTTCCTAAAATCCCTGCACAAAGCGTGACAGAGCACTCCATAAGTTAATGCATAGTTGTTGTTTTTTTATAAAGATTTGTGATACATAACATGATACATAACATCATCTAAGAAACAGTGAACCAATTTGACTGGCCCATTTGAGACTCTCCTACCAAGGATTACTAGTGTGACCAGCTGTCAACAATTATCTGTTGATACTTGAACTGGCTATTGTTCGCGATTGCGTAATATTGGGGACAAAAATTAGCAACAAAATTAGTGTCCTCAAATTTCTGGAACCACATTATTATAGAACACAAAAATATGAATATTTCTCTGCAACACCTGTGTCTGAATTTAAATCAAAAACTCAATCAAAAAGGTTCTGTAAAAATTGATAACACTCAAGGCAAGGAAACAGTGCATATAAATGATGATCCCACCTTAAAGGTACCATGTCCCATTTGCAGGTCAAACTAGATGGAATTCGACTGCGCGCAGTCGAAAATGATGCCTCCGTCATAGAGCAATTTTACAAACCAAAACAGAAGAAATTTTTCGAATTCAAGTTCAATTGTAATCCATTGACAGGTTCTCAGAATATCGTGATTACAAGCAATTTCTCATATACATATATGACCCTTTGATCTTTGACCTCATGACCCTAAAATCTACTCAGTTCATTGGCTCTGCAAGATGTCCTGAGTTAAATAGTAATCAATCTGTCAGTTCTAATGAGAATGCGTTCACAAGCTATTTTTGCATACATAATGAGCCCATGATCTTTGACCTTTGACCTTATGAACCAAGAATCTACTCAGTTCATTGGCTCTGCAAGTAACATACATGACCTAATTTTGGCAGGAATCCATCAATCGGTTCTTGAGATAACGCGATCACAAGCTGTTTTTGCATACATAATGTGTGCTGTGGCCTTTGACCTTTGACCTCATGACCCCTAAATCTAATCAGTTCATCGGCTCTGCAAGTAACATACATGACCTAAGTTTGGCAGCAATCCATCAATCGGTTCTTGAGATAACGCGATCACAAGCCGTTTATGCATACATAATGAGCCCTGTGACCTTTGACCTTTAACCTCATGACCCCAAAATCTAATCAGTTCATTGGCTCTGCAAGATACATACATGACCAAGGTTTGGCAGGAATCCATCAATCGGTTCTTCAGATAACGCGATCACGAGCTGCTTTTGCATACCTAATGAGCCCTGTGACCTTTGACCTTTGACCTCGTGACCCCAAAATCTAATCAGTTCATCGGCTCTGCAAGATACATACATGACCAAAGTTTGGCAGGAATCCATTGATTGGTTCTTCAGATAACGCGATCACAAGAACGGGACGTACGTACGTACGTACGTACGTACGGACGGACGGACGGACAACCCGAAAACATAATGCCTCCGGCTACTTCGTAACAGAGGCATAAAAAAGGAAAAGGTCAAGTTCTAACGGCGTTTGAAAGACAATACTTATTTAGAACTTTCCTCACAACAAAAGGGCTTGAAATTGGCATTTAGTGGGAAAATAACAACCATTAGTTGTCGAATCGACTTAAGTGATTGCAATCACCTAAGTACTAGTCTGATTTTCAGACCCTTTTACCGTTGTACCTGTTACAGCTCATTTTATGTAATTACCAAAGAAAAACAGATGTCAGTCAGTCACTCAATAGTATCTGGCAATGAAATCTAGAAAGTACCGGTGAGCAGGTTTCCTTGCACAATTTGAATACTAGGACACTGCTTATGTTTAAATTTCACAAATAGAACTTACATGACATATTCATAATTCCTGCAAACTTCTACAGAATTTGATGTTCGCTGCAAAAGGGACATAGTATCTATTCTTTAACATCAACAGAGACAAATGAGAGAAACAGGTGAGTGAAAGGTTTAGGAACTCTGAAAGTATGAGAACCGTAACTTTTTCACAAAATTTGAGGACCACTACGAAATTAGCAACACAAATGCTTTACTTTATAAGCTTCTCTCCTCCTTCTCCTTCTTCTTCTATTTCTTTGTCTTCTTCTTCTTTCCCTTCTTCCTCCTCTTCGTTTCCACCCTATTTAAAAACTTCTACATGTACTACTACTACTACTTCTATTACTAATATTATAATATGTTGTGATATCTTGGTTCACTCACTTGCCTCTCAATCCACAAGTTGAGAGTTTGATTCCCAGCCCAGCACTAACATTCTTTGGCAAGACATTCATCCACATTTGCCACTCTCCACCCAGGTGTAAATAGATACCTGGCAATTAATTACTGGGGTAATGATAACAGCAGTGCCCTCAGGAAGAAGAGCACTAATGCTGATATGTAATGGCAGTTAACTTTTATATTACAATGTACAGTGTGAAAATGATTTGCTTTTAAAGGGATTGTGTTACTTTGTCTCAGATTCTGAAACAAAATCCTGGATTTAGCTCATTCTGCAATCATAATTGTACACTTTTAGGTTAGTCAGGAACCCCATGACTTTTACAAGCTGATCGCCTGTCTGATTATCAAGACATTTACAGTTGGAAATCGAAATAAAATTTTGCGTTATCTTAACGGTTTTCATAACACTACAGTGTATTGGGGAAAACAAGTATGGTAAAACCGGTCACTCAAAGATTGTTACTTTTTTGAGGCACTTCATGATCATTTTGAAGCGCAATTTTGTTAGGGCTTCAATATTACACCATATCACAGACACTGATGACACGTAGGGCCATGCATCTCAGACTTAACATTGTTAAACGATGCCTTTAAATCCTATCTGCACTAGTTTAACCAGGAGGGATAAGACCTCCCTTCGTAGTCAATGGCAGGTGGTTATCTCATCAAATCAGCTCTCAATTAACATAAGAAAAAGGGGACCATGGGGGACCAATGCGTACCGCTTAGGCATTGTTGGGTATATAGAGGGCGCAAGTAGCTACAAGTAGTGCAGTCCCACTTTAAGGCACATATACCTACCTATTTGAGATTACAGGTGGTATTATATCTTTACTCTCCTATATCAACTGAGTCACCAAAAAGCAGTGAAAGATTACCCTAAAAAAAGAGAAGGAAAACATCTCTCCCATTTTGGAATGTATAGAATGTATAGTCATAGTGGGCTACCCAGCACAGGGTGGTGTCAGCTTACATCCTTCCCCTGTTTGAAGGATCAGAAATACACCACAAAAAAGTACAGTGTAAATAGACAAAAATAAAATACAACCTCCCACCTTGCATATGATCTAGAACATGTCCAGAGACCCGTTTCACAAGCCTTTTTTCAATGACAAATGCCAACAATCAGAAGCAAGGATTTCACAAGCTTATAACAAAAACTTTCATTTGTCACTGATGACAAGTTTTGTAAACATGGGGCCCAGGTGCAACCCGCCCTACTCCCATCGGAAGAGGGCTCCATCCCCCCCCCCCCTCTTCCAAAATGTATGTACGCCATAGAGTGCAACAAGTCCATCCACAGTCACCAAGATATGGAAGCACTCTCTCAACTACTGAGACCACGGTCTGTATCACTCCTGGATGAAAGTGTTGGTATGTCATCAAAAGCTTTCTCAAACTCATCTCCTGATCTTTCTGATAGATCCTCCTCATCTTCTGATCTGTGATGATAATCCACAGACTCCTCTATGCCTGGTTCCAGGAATCTGATTGAAGTCCTCTTGGGAGCTACAAAACAATCAACACATATACAACTCATTTAGTCAAACCATATACATATCAAATCATCATCACACCACAAGTTAGCGATCTTCCAAACATAAAGATCCAACTTGCTTCTGCAAAATGGAAACTGAGTACAAAACACAATATCACAATGAGCAAGAGTTCTCAAACGGCAGCAATTGAGATACATGTAATTTAGGTTAGAGTCAAAAGAATATGCATGTTGTGATACATCATACCGGTACTCATATTTTAGCAAGTTGATATTGCCTGGAATTGGGGGCTCAATCAATAGTGATCTGTCAGTTTATGACAGGTTCAGTGACCCAATCAGAGTTCTACTTCAAATGTCTCTCCAAGTACTTCGGTCTTGAGCCATCCGTTTCAGCATTTCATATCCTGTTGCTCCACATTCTGTGATTAAATCATCTAGAAAGCCTTTACGAGGTCTTCCCCTTAACTTCTTTCCATGTAGACGGCCTTCTAGGACTCTGATCTGATCTGGGCTAGGAGTCATACAAAAGGAACAAACATGTAGTAGCTCTCACTCCAAACATTCCATTGATATACTTACTATATGGTTTTCTCTTTGCGTTCTGAGCATCCTCATCATCATCCTGCCATCTCTCAAAGTCTACACTGATGTATGGTATCTGACGGAAGAAATGGACATACATAGTCGTTATCATGATGATGATGATAATGTTGAAATCAACAGCAATAACACAACAAATGTTTGATTTACATATGTAATCAATCCTTTATTTTCTATATACTTTACACGCTTTACAGTCTGTTCTGTTTGCAAAGCCCATGGCATACTGGATCATCTGACTACCGTTTGATCACATTTTGGAAGAACTTGCAATAGCATTAAAAAAAATATTCAAACTTTTGAAATCTCGATGATCGAGGATCTGACTAGTCATATGATTATTAAACTCTAAATTTCAATGGATTTCAATGTTCTTTGGAATAGGAGAAGCTAAATTGGCTCAGAATCATAGTAACATCAGATCAGTAGTGTTATGGTCTACAATTTGAAGCCAGTTCAGCATTTATTCTGACTAGAAGGCTTAAATGCACACAAATTCTGGTTACAAGATTTTGTATCATCGTTTAGAACCTAAATTAGAATATAATGCTTGTTTTTAATATATTTCCGACACGATTGCAATTGCTTTGAGAATTGGATCACAGGGGAAATGTATAGTGTGTGGTGGGCTCTAGAAATATCTCACTACCTAGTAAACACACTACTGCAAGAAAAGGAAATTGTTAAAGCATCAAGAAGAGATATACTCCTAGTCATCATTCATAGAGAATTCAATAGTTCAGGAGCTGGTGCTATGTATGATTGGTTTCTAAACTTTCCTTATGTACCATGTTGACAGGGTGTACAGTACTGACAGAAGATGTGGTGATAATGATTAAAATATATGTAATGGAGTGAGTTCTGAACTAACTATTACTAACCTTTGTTTTGGTTTGTGTGAGTCTAGTCCACTTGATACCGATGCTCTCTTTATAGAGTGTGATGAGAAACTCTCTCCCAGCTGATACCATGGTGAAGTTAGTGTTGTCAACTCGGCTAAACAAATCCAACTCAAACTCATACTCTATGTTCTCTAAGATTGCACTGTCCAATGAAACAAAGGAGAAAAGATAGTCAATGCAATTGCAGATTGTATCACAGCCTCACTCTATGTATTGTTAATTTTTGATTGTCTTTTCATATTTCATAAAAATACTTGTAAAATGGATTTATTAACCATGGTAGTTTAATGAAATGGAAAGAAACAGCCTATCAAATAATAGATCAAATACATTTCTGCAAATACACAATATTATGCACTTAATCATAAAAGAAATAGCTGCTTCTGTAATGGCACACATGTCCGTTATGATACTCCTGGCACTCTCAAATCATTACCCGCGTCATAGCAGAGCAACCTAATACGTAGTGCTCCAGCCTATTGGGAAGAGAGCAGCAAATGTCTTGCCGGAGCATGTTAGTGCCGGGCTGGGATTTGAACCCTCAACCCTTAGACTGAGACTCAAGTGAATGAACCACTATACCACAACACATAAGACTTATCCATTTTGGGACATTTTCAAAGTGATTGCTTTCCTAGACGTTTCAAGCATATCACTAAGCTGTACTCAGAGACCTTCCCTATGACTACGATATGTTTGGCAAGTACAGTGTGGGATGAGAGAGAATGGGATATATAAATATATATATTAAATATATATATAAATATATATATAAATATATATATAAATATATATAAAAATATATATATATTTATATATATATATATATATATATATAACTATGGATTGCACATACGGAAGACATGTGATAAAAATCAATATTTTGGAGACAGTAGCAAAATGGTACCATAAAGTTAAAACAAGCATACAAACTTTCGTTTTTATTTCGCAGAAAAGATCTTCAAACCAGAGTCTTTCAATTACTTAATTACTTTTTACCCTCAAAGACACACTTTTTCGGTAAAAGATATACCGTCGTAATTTATGTCTCCTTTACGTTTCATTACTATCTGAGCAACAAAAGGGAGACATTTTGTCTTTCTCATACTATTGGGAGACATGTCTCCTAATGATAGTGATACTGAGCATGCACACATATATGTATATATATATATAAATGTAACATAATTAAAATGTATGTTTTGCTTTATAGATTTTTGAACATACTATTAGTCTTCATACAAGCCTAAAGGGTTATAAGGATTGCACATAGGCTTAGTCTATATTAAATTACTATTATCGTTATAATTATAATAACTGTTATCATTATTATCATTTCTATTAACATTGTTATAAATTCTTGTTTATTAACACGAAAATGTCTCCTTCATGTGGGTGTCTCCTATAAGTAGGTATAATAACACCAAAATGTCTCCCAAATGTCAGATCTATAGAAATATTATCATCATCATTATTATTATTGTTATTTGATTTAATTCCACAAACTGGAAACTTCCTGGGTCTTTGAAGACATGCATTACTTCTAGGAAACACCCACTCAATGGAGACATATTTGTGTCTCCTTGAAGTACAAGTTTATCGATTATTTTGTCTATGTTATTATTAATGTTTTTTTTATCATTTTTTTCTTGTGTGGAGGTATATTCGCACATGTCCTTTGTTTTTGTTAATACTCGATATGACATGCAGTGGCGGATCCAGGGCGCAACAGGTGCGCAACAGTTTTTACCATCTTCATCCCATTATCATAATTATAACTATCCTCTTTATAAATCATTATCAATGTCATATGAATGGATTTGTATACTATAAGAAAAATATGAAAAGGAAAAAGAATCTTGCATGTGAAGACACCATATGCTAACTTTCAAAAAGGAACCCGAACGCGACCCGACCGTTTAGCACAAGCCAAACAAAACGAACCAGACACAACGAATCTCACAGACATGTGTATATGGACACAAACTCAATCAAAATATGCATTCACATCTTCAACTGGTCATCCACAAAAGGTCACATTCAAAAGCAAAAACAAAACGCGGGAACTATTTAGTTATTTTATTAGCAAGGAATTTATTACAAAGGTAAACCATGGATTAATTGAGCAAGTCTAAAATCAAGCAATAAAAATTGGGCACATGCTCAAAATTATAAATAAGCATGAAGTAGAATACATATATTATATAAATGGGAGAGATCTCAATGCAAAATATTAAATTAATAGTCACATTGAATATTAAAGAAACAATTTAAATTGCACAGACAATACAAGAAAATATTTCAGTGTATCACATCATCAGGCAAGAAAATAAAGAAATGGCAAGAAAGAGACAGAAAATTGGAAATAGGGAAAGGGAGGGAGGAAGGGGAGAGAGACAGAACAAAGTAGTGTGGTGGTGGTTTTGGTAGTAAACCTCCTTGGTAGTGGTAGTAGTAGTAGTAGTAGTAGTAGTAGTAGTGGTAGTAGTAGTAGCAGCAGTAGCAGTAGTAGTAGTAGTACAGTGGAACCTCGTTATAAAGATATCGGATATAACAAAATCCTCTTATAACGAGGTAATTTTGCTGGTCCCAGCTCTTTATATTTCTTTGGTTTTTTACACTGATATAATGAGAAACCTGATATAACATTAGGTCATTTTCATGGTCCCAAGGACCTCGTTATAAAGAGGTTCCAATGTAGTAGTAGTATTAGTAGTAGTAGTAGTAGTAGTAGTAGTAGCAGTAGTAGCAGCAGTGGCAGCAGCAGTAGTAGTACTGTAGTACTACTAGTAGTAGTTGTAGTAATACAAGACTAGTAGTAGTAGTAGTAGTAGTAGTAGTAGTAGTAGTAGTAGAAGTAGTAGTAGTAGTAGCAGTAGTAGTTTTATATTTCTAAAATATTTATAAAACTAATAATGCTTAACCTTGAAATTCTACATATAATTGGAACATACATACTCTACCCAACCATGACTAACTTGACATGAACCAATGAATAACCACTCGTGCATGAACGAAAACAGAGCTTCTCAAAAAAGGTGTAAAATTAAGATGTGGTCAAAACTTTGCCTGTATCTTTTGAATCTAGTAAAGGAAGTCATCTCATTTTTGGTCTGGGTCCTCACAAATGAAAGCAAAAGAAAGAACATACATGTGGAGATCTTCGGTTCTGAAATTAATCCCGATGTAGTCATTTTCATATTTCGATGTCTATTCTGGGATGAATAGGGACAGTGCCCAATGTTATGCAACACTACAACCTAGTGGGTCAGAATGTAATCGTTATACTTTTCCTACATTTCTCATGAATAAAAACATTAACACATGTAATTATTATAGCACTAAATGAGCAAATTAGCATTATTTACTCTTGTCACAAAGAACACTGATGTAGCCAAATATGTACACCATATAAAAGGCAATGCTGTAAAATATTCCAATAACAGGAATAACAATAACAAAAGTTCAACTAGATGCAAACGTGCAATCCATATATATGCAAGATTAGATAGTAAAATGACATCTAAGTGTCTTTGTAATATCTGTGCTTGTGGAATCAAGTTGATGCTCTTCAAAAACACTTCGAAAAGGGATTGTGCTCAAACTGACATCATTATCAAGTACTATAAATACCCTTTGTCTAATAATATGTAGTTCACTCTAATAAACTTGAATTGAACTTGAAGTTTGACTGCATAACTACACTTCACTGTACAGTGTGCAACCAATCATTTCTAATGTCCAAACCTTCATCATGCACTGAAAGCAGTATTCATCATTACATCATTAATTAGATACATGTCATCTTCATTTGATCCTGAATTAAATTTAAAGGTAATACAAAGTTTTGGTATGGGGTCATGAATTTTGTTCAAATGTACATATTGGAAGCATATATACGATCCAACAAAACACAATGATCGTTGTCGCTGTTGTAATCGAGTCTAAAGTGATGAAATTGTAGATAATAAACTCTTTATGTTGTATAGCGCCCTCTCCGGATTGATATTACTTTAGCTTTAAAGCAATGTTTCTTGACTATTCTTTTGGAAACCTAATATCAGAACTGCATATTCCGAGATTTTCATGGTCGCAGCTACCGTTATATGACCGTAGGCGCTATTTGAAATTTATCGGGAGCACCGATAAATTTCATATTAGAATATCTCGAAATCCAAAGCGTTTTAGAGCCCAATTTATTCAGAGGCGGTTTTTCGTACACAAGGTTTTACAATGATAATGAAAATTTAAACGTTATTCTCCGACCCTAGTGAAATATTCCCAAAACTTTGTATTACCTTTAATATTCATTTAACTTGCATACATCCAGGTTACAAAATGTCCACTATATAACCATTTAGCACTTTCTTTAATACATACACTAAGTCAATGGCAGGGAAAACCGAAATAAACTAACTTCATTCAGGCTCATTAATCATCATTACACCAATGTTTCAACTGACCTCTTTGCCCACCATATTAGACTTTCATCAATTCAGCTCTATCACAAATTAGAGCAAGTTACAGGTTGCGCATGTGCAGATAAAGGACCAGGCTTGACACTGAAACAAAACGAGGATGAGTCCTTGTGCAAGCTCTTTCATGAATATTCATTTAGAAGCCACATACCTACTGGAATATACAGGTGAAGGTACATGTATTGTGCCAAAAAAGGCAACAAAAGATGTTAATCAGACCATATGATCTGACCCAACTAATATTATTAGTTTAGGAAGCTCCTCTCTCTGTCATCAAAGTTTTTCTTTGCTTTATTCCTTTCGTTCATCACCTTATTTCTTACCGCTTGCCATTCCATGGTGATTTGATGTCTTTGCAGGAAAGTGGTGCAGGCCTTCCTCCCTGGGTATGAAATAAGAACAATACATTCTAAATCCTTTGTCATCATCGATACTATCTTAGGTTATTAAATAGGAACTAGTCGACTGGTATGCCTCTGCCCTCTCACGCACTGCATTATATTGAACAAATTTGCATATTTGCACTATCAACTCATATGAAATTTCAATACTTATTATTAATTTGACTAAGCTATCTTTCAGAGTACATGAAAAGCCAATTAATGTCAATTAAGTGCACTTTCTCCATAAATGCTGGAAACTGAAGAAAAAAAGTAGAACTCCT